AAAAAAAAAAAAAAAAAAACGGTGCTTTTCATTTTCATGTTTGTTTGACGCTCTTTGCGAAGAGGCGGCGAGCCTGCAGGAGCAAATAGACAGGCAAGGGGTAAAGAAGTTGTGCCTCTTCAGGCTGCACCTGAATACGAGTCCTGCTTCTGGAGATCATGGAGGCCAAGCCGTGAAAATCCTCATATTTAAAACCTCCAGGGCGAGTCCCGAGTAACGGCAACTCTGGCATGGTCGGTCCTCTGCAGTTGAAAATTGGACTTGTTGCATAGCCTCCTTACTACCCCTCCCTCAGTGCCAGCTCCGTTGCATCGCCTCCCCACACTTACTAACTGCACACAGATGCACTGTGCAAGCAACACCCTGCGTGCAAGTCAGGCACCTTCAGGGCAAGCCTCTTGTAACAAGACCGAGCTGTCTTGCCATCTATTTTGTCCTCACAAAACGCAGAACCGAGGCAGCACAAAAAGCACAGGAAGGAAATGCGGGCCTCACCTCAGATCCAAGACCCAAAGTGGCGAAGCAATCTGATGTCCGGTCGAGGACTCTCGCCACCTGATGAAAGGTGCATCAGGAAGCCCTACCTGACGTTAACAAATTGCGCAACTTGTGCCAGCTCGGCTTCATCCTCAACTGCAGCATCTTCCACCACTTGCCAGTCTCTCGGTCTCAGCGTCTTCTGCACCTCGGAGTGCGTTTTTTGCAACCTTCTGCCTTCCTGGCGCGTGCATCTGCCGGGTTGCCCGACAAAGGGGGCACCAACTACACCTTTGCCTTTTTCCTCGCCCACTACCTCTGCGCCAAGTGCCTGAATACAAATCCTGGATCATGTCCAGACTCAAGCAAGCTATCTTGCATTGTGCCTTGGTGCGGATCTGCTCCTCCACCGAAGAAGGCACATGTCTGCCATCTAAGGATCGCCACCTGCCATCCGGGGAAGCAACCTGAGGCAGGCGCAGAACAAAGAGAAGCCTTCGCAATGGCGCAGCAACAAGCTCCTGGCCAAAGCATGTGTCCCACCCAGACTTGACACCTTCCACTGCGACGATACAAATAAACAAATGGTTGCAGATCCTATTTGAGTACAAGACGACTAAGCGATCGCCAAGCAAAAGGGCCTCGACACGTCTGAGTCTCGGAGCAAATTCATGTGGTTCCACATACAAATTTGAGTTTGGTGCCACCGTCATGGAGACGCCTTCCCAGCAGCACCCTGCCTGCTGCACCAGCTGCACCTCTTGCGGCAGAGGTAACTTCTAAAGAGCAGGAGGGTGTACTGTATATCTTCCAATTCCCAGGTCGAGGCATCCAGCTCGGCGAAAATTGAGCGAAGGAGGCCCCTGGACTACGGTACTTGGAACACGCTTTTAAGAAGGGCTCGCGGCCTCAGGTCGGCATCATGCCAGTATGTAATCGAAGCCTGTGGCTTTCGATCATGTTGCGAGCTACTTAGCTACTTTAAAGCCAAACAACCAGAGCCATGTGATGCAAACCGGAGCTCTGAGGTCACTGCACTCAGCTGCGGCAACAGCTTGGTGTGAAAATGCTTTGAACACCATTCCACCGCTGCCCCACCTCAACTCTATACGATCAACTAACTAGCCTCATGAATCTCTTGAGGTTCTGATGCTAAGCTTTTGAGCAGTGACGGAAGAATCATGGAAGTGGTGTTGGGTCCTGAGGCAGCGACCTCGTACCCCGTCAAACATCGCGTAGCAAGCGGCTGGCCTCTTTAAGAGACTGTTGCGGAGGTCTTCTAGCAAACCAATATCTGCCGTAATCGACCACAGCTGCTTTGGACTTGTTGGAGGCGATCGTCACGCTAAAAAACACGGCGAAAGGGCGTCTGGCCCTCGGGCCGGTTTTTGATGTGATGTGGTTTTTCCCCACACGACATTGTGGATTCAGGACAGGGCACAGGAAGGCAGGACAGCAGCAGCAAGGATGTCAAATCGGCATGTACCGGATTTTGGCTTGAAGGGTGCAGCCTGAACATGCCAATTTCCCACAACTTCTTACATGCAATTGTACATTGTACCGGCACCGAATTCAATAATGAAGTGGGGCGTCAATAAGCATCCAGCTTAACGGTGATGGGTTTCAATATGCTTCAACAAGCAGACGGGTGAGGTGAGGTGTCAAGCGCGGAACTGTGTCGGAATCATAGACTTCAAGAAACAGGCGTGCAAGTCGACCGCTATTCAAGCACTGCACAGGGACAGCCATTCATTCTGCTTCGCGTATGTGTCGAGGTTTTTCTTGGTCACAAGGCCCGAAAGCAAACATCCGTGCGGTCGATTTCCCCCAATGAAAAATTGCACACATAAAATGTAAACTTGCCAACCTCAGAACGGAGAAGCTGTGGGATCAATGTAGTTGATTGGCTTCCCTGCATAGTCAATCTGACCAATCTGTGAACATGTATGTCTGCATACAAATGCCTGTCTTCACGATGCAAAATGCAGGTTCAAGACACACCCCGATGGGCGCAGCCAAGCGTCTGGTCTAGGAAGAACAGCGGAGTCTTCATGGCAGCACCAGTCTTGACCAACTCCTGCGTCGCAACAGGGTGTGCGCCTACAACCGGATCCAGGAATCTGCCGCGGCCTTCAGCAGCATTGATCTAGGTCGGTCTGGCGCATTCAGATCCTCTGCCCGCCATGTGCCAGAAGATGCACAACACGAAACGGGTCTTGCCTCGTCTGTCCGTCCGACCAGTGAGGCACCAACACTGACCGACACCGGATATTCAATGGGGTCGTGAGGAACATCACAATCAATGTACCTGTTGTGCTGTACCAGTGGGCGTCTATCCAGGTTTCAAGGCATCCTGAAGTAAGAGCGGCACGAGTTCGTGTCCGCATCAATTTTGAAGTAACGGCCCTTTACGGGGTCGAAAGCCATGGGTGCACTGCAATGTTTGAAGAACTCCTGCAATGCATGGGAAAGCACAGTTGCACTGGAACAACATGTGCTGCTTGACGTCTGTGCCAACGACCAAGCGAAAAAAAAAATGCCATGAAATGGTGAAGCATGGCACATGCAGCCCGAGTCTCTACTGGACCTCCAAACGCGTCAAGGATAGCCAATCCCAGGACAAAGAGGTAGCATTGCGAGCCGCTAGATCTTCATCACAAGAAATCATGCAACCCTTGCCTGCACCCTGCCGCTAGCAGCCTAGATTCATCAAGGCTACAACGGACTTTTTGCGCCTGCAAAATACCGGCGGTCGTGATCACATACAACATCAAAAACACAAAAAAAAGCCTTCCCCGCCTTTGCATGAACCGACTCATGGCCTGCACTGCTAAGTACGAGGCGGTCCGCGGGGCACAAATTCCCTTCTCTCAACACAGCATCGCACGAAGGCTGGCCCGATGCTGCTACAAATCGCCAGCATTGCATCATGAATTCGATGATGGGCAGAAACTGTGGCAACTTGGAGGTCCTTAAATCCACGCACGGGCAGGCTTTTTGGAATAACTGTGATGTGCCGACCACAACAGATGTTCAGCTGAGCAGCAGTCGGAGACCAACCTTTTCGGAGAGATAGGATTTTGAGCGATGTCAAGGCCGGAGCTTCCAGACATCGTTGAACCATCCTTTCAGCCACACGTGGCATGCGATCCAACAATCGCAACCGGCTTGCAGCCAGTGCCACTTCTATGGTGTGCTCCTCATGTTTGTACCAGTCCAAAGAGCCAAGACTGACATGGCTGACAAGTTCCAGCGCAGATTTGGACACATGGATCAGGAACTGCCTGTGGCACGCGCCTGCTTGGAAAATACAGATGCAACCTCTCTGCGTCACCAGGTCGCCAACAAATCCCTGCGCGGACATCTCGTGCAGCAGGCATACTGTCGTCTTCCAGTAGGAACCCGTCATTTGAAGCAGGAGGGAATTGGAGCAGAGCGTATCTTGCTCTACGCTGTGTGCTCCCTCCTCTTTGCTCATCTGCAAAAGTTGCAAACCTACTTCCCAATGGCTTGCCTTGGCACAAGCACTAATGGCTGAGTTTGTGCCACGCTTCAAGTTTTGTGACACTGCCAACCGCTCTCCGGCTAAGCTTGAGCGGGCCCTGTGGAGCATTTGCAACGCCTGCGCCCACTGCTCGCCTGATTCGCATGCGCTTATTGCTGAGTTCCACGTGACGTGATCTGCGTCCAGACCCTCTGAAAGAATTTCCTCCATGATCAACACCGCCAGCCTCCAGTGCCTTGATCTCTCCAAGGCACTCATTACCTGAGTTGATGACCAAGCACAATTCATCTGAGCTTAGCAGCCTGGCACACGCATGAGTCTATTGCATAGAACGAGCGGCAATGCTATGACTGACCACAGAAGGGTGCAGCCCCCGCAAGACCATCTCCGTCAGCAGAAACACAGCATCTTTCCATCTCCGTCCCTTCCCACAGGCTGCAATGACAGTGTTGTACGCCATCACATCTGGTTCTGCGGTCGATCCCTCCATGGTTCTCAGAAGAAGCAGGGCTCGCTCCCATTGAGACGCTTTCTCACATGCAGTGATGATGGCCCCGTACAGTTGCACGCTGGGCACACTACTCCGCTCTTGTAAGGAGGCGGCCACCGCCAGAGCCTTCTCCCACTTGCCCACAAATTCAAGACAGCTTGCAACAGCTCCATAGTGGTGTATGCTGGGCTGAAGGCCAAAGGCACCTGATTCCAGTTGGCTCAAAATGGCCAGAGCTGGTGCCCAGGCTGCCGCATATCTGCATGCTCCGATTGCTGCCGTGCAGAACATGGCATCCAAACCTCCAACCTCCTCCAAGGCTGCCAACAACTGCATTGCACAATCCCAGCGCTTGGCGCGGCCACATGACTGCACAGCGCGAGTGTAGCTCGGCAAGTCCTGAAATGCCAACGCAAGGGACTTCTGGAAAATACAAATGAACTTGCACGCGAAGAGTTCTCTGGTTTTCTCTGGACTAACTGTCAGCTTGGATGTTCATCTTTTCTTTTAATTGTGGTTCTCCAGCTTAAAACGGCAAACTCGGAAAGCCGCATGATTCAGAGATTCGGATTTTCCGAATAGCGTGCATTTCACGACCTAGATCGATGGGAGCCAGCAAATTTGCATTGTAAGCTGGCTTCAAGCTCGGGAAACATCAGCCAGGGAATGCGGAAGTCACAGCAAGAGAAAGACGAAGAGTCATAGTCATCGTATTAGCAACAATGTCAAAAAAATCTAAGCATTGTCGCTACAAAGGACTTGCCTCCAAGGCCACAACTTCCCATGTCAACTACAGCGCATGTAGGCTCAACCACTGCTGCTGGCAAGAAAGAAAGTTTGGCAAAGAAATAGCTTCCAAAACTCACCACACCTGCGCCGGCTTTCCTGCAGCCAAGAGACAATAGAACGTTCTCCAAATCTAGCTCTAGCATCTAGCTCCTCAAGGAAGTGTTGCCATCTGCTCAGTCTTTGGGAGAACTTCCTTGCCCCTCTACGGCAAAGGGCCGTGCTAAGCAACATGCCTTCCTGAGCCTTAGTGGCTGAAGATCCTATTCCAGTCTAAGCCTCTGTCGCGATCCAGCTGCTGTGTGTCCACTAGTTTCCTCTCACCACAGGCAACACCCTAGAATACCCTGGCTGGCCTTGTCTCCTACCCGTTGCCAACCGTTACCTCGCGGTTTCCTCGCTAAGCGCAGCCTGCCAGGGCCACCCAACATGACATCGGAGTATCAACCCAGGCGCCCAAGCACGCTCAATACAAAGCCACCCAACCTCATCGGCTTTTCAATGCTTTCTTCGAAATCGAAGTCCTCTTTGGGAAGCTCCTCAATGTTAACTACTGCCAAGCCAAGACTGACTGGTATTAGTCAGGATGTTCATCATGACACTGTTCTGCAGAAATCGGGGCTCCGCAGCAGAACATCATGACAAAAGGCTGATTTGCCGCCTCTGGTTTCCAGAAGGTAAACATCAGCTCCACAGACCTCTTCTAAAATGCGCCGTCGAAGGAGGAAAGCTGATTCAAGCACAACGTCAAGGCATCAGAACCTTCTCTGGGTTGCTTCAAGCTTGGCATCCTCGATCAGTGACCCTCACTGACACTTGCTTCTGGAATGTGCTGGCGAGCCTTCGGGGCGTCGCGGCACGCATTCCGCAAACTAAGCCCGTCCTCCCAAAGAATCAAGAAAGCTTTGTTGTGATCATTTCTCTGGTTCCTTGATGGCTTGTGCTCGTGTTTTCCGTCGAGGCCCTCGCACCTCATATGGACGTACAATAATTTGCATCAACGAGCGTCAATGAGCATGAAACCTGAGGAGTTTCAATGAGCGCAGAGAGCGCAGATGAGCGCTGAGCCTTGGAGTCTTCGTACTTGTCTCCAACCATCTTCGACACGTAAAGTACCTTTCAAATCCAAAGATGCAACGTCACAAATCTCTTCCATGCCAAAACATATCATCTGAGTGGCGCACGCTTCGGAAACCTGCTGCCTTGCAAGTCTAAAAGAAAGAAGAGAGTGTCAGTCTTTACCTGAAATTCGCGACCTCGTTATCAATCTCAAGAACGTCTCCAGCTTGGGCCTCCCTTGCCTCCCGTTCCTCTGCAAGGACAGGTCACAACTGGTGCGGCATCTAGTCGCTCCTGCCTTTCGCATGGTTTCCTCACGGCCCTGAGCCAGTTGCCACATTGGCGTTCCTGCCCCATAGTCCGTGCACTAAAAAGTAGGCAAATTCAAGCGCGCTGTTGATTTTGAAGCTTCTTCGTGGCTAAGCTACACACCACTCCATCCCTCACTGAACTGGCACGCCATGGCTACCACCTGCAACAAGAATCAATGACAGTAGCTGACCGGGCTAATCAAAGCAGCACGCGTGTGCCACCCAAACTGGCTTTGACTGGTTTGACTGTAGGTTGAAGCCTGGATGGGCCAGCTTGGCCGTAAGGCCCCGTGACTGCTTGTCTATTAGAGCATGGTGCCTGCCTGCCGCGCGCGTGCCAATCCATGCGAGTTCACTTGCACAAGCTGCAATCTGCAGGTTCTGCACCCACAACCGCAAACATTTCAGCTGCCGATTCTCATTGCGAAAGACGGAAAGGTCCAAGTGAAACAGTGAGGTGTTGTGCCTCTTAGAAGACACAAGAAAAGGCACTAAGCTCGTGCCGCGCTCAGCGTCTACCCGCACACATTTCCTTGGCGTGGTTGATGTAGGTGATCCGCCTTCTGCAGAACTGCCAAGGCCAACGCATTATTCCTGATAGCCTCGAAGATAGCACGACGATAGTTTTCCTGAGGCGGAGATGCAGGAGGTCATTTTTGATCATGCGTGTGCTTCTTCGACGAGGCCCTGATCTGGACTGTATGAGCTGCAGTCTACCGCCAGTGAAGTTGCGCATCACAGACCACCGTGACAGTAGTTACAAGTTAATTAAAACCCCCTTCTGCGAGTTGTGCCAATTGTTTGCCCCTCTGACTGGTCCGTTATGTCTGCGTCCTGGTCAAGGACAGCAAACAGCGAAAGCAGACAGAGCAGGAGCTTTTCTTTTTGCTGTGCGGTCTAGGTCACGTGGCTGTAAGTGGCCAGTGGCAAATAAGCATAAATAAGCCCAGGCACTTCGAAATCAGCTAGATCCCAGACAGGAAAGAACCTGCAGAGGCACCTACAGGCAGGGCAGGGCGGCATCAGACCGCCGATGCAGCCCCAAGCAAAATGCAGGGAGCACTTTCACACGCGAAAGTCCAAGGCCAAAGTCCAGGCAGAGGCGGAAAGAGAAACAGCGAGGACGGCAGGCGGCGCACAGGAGAGACAGAGAAGTCTCTTAACCCACTGAGTGCAGTCCAGCCTGAGACAGGGGATGGATGGTGGGCGGGGAGAAACCAGGCACAGACTGGTGACTGAGAGAAGCCAATGGTCGCAGCAAGCACTGGTTGCTGCAGCCTTGCCGTTGCGACAGGCAGGCAAATACATAGATAAAAATACAAAATTGTCATTCTTGATCTTTACTTTGTGCACTTTGCCTACTCTGGTGTCCCTCTTCAGCGCTGACATTGCAGCGGGTTTTCCATGAATTTAATCCTGCACTAGTTGAATAAAATCGACCATATTTAAAGAATTTTTCTTTGGTAGAATTAGGGTCCCAAGACTACTTTCAATTGGAGTGGATTCTGTATCAGGCAAAGGGACTACATTTAAATAACTTTTTGGGGAGCCATCTTCATAGAAGAGTTAGACAAGTAGTTTAAACTACATTCACCTTTGTTTGATAGAGCTCCACTCCAAGATTCCCAATGACCCAAGAATGATTTGCTCTTGGATTTTTAATAGAGATTCAAGA